AAGATATTGACCAATAAACATGGAAGGAAATATACCCTCCCATCTCCCACCCCGCTTGGCGTAACTAGTAAACACAGTAACCATGCAATTAACTATAGGGATACACAACCATTATACGAATATAATACGATAAAAAACGACTGTAGGAGTATGTAATAGAACCTCCAATTACTCTTTTACTTTCACCATACTTCACAGACCACGAGGAAATGACAGCATATGACAACACCATGTTTTCAGTCGAGTTCGTATCAATAGTCTCGTATTTATGATTTCGAAATAGCCCTTTATATCAAAGGTATATATATATACCTGTTAATCATTTGGGATGATCTTCACTCTACGTATCTTTCAATATTGTTGATGTGAGTTTGTTTTGGCAGTGAAGGGAATAACATTGAATTATTTTGTTGTTATTTTTGTTGTTTTCACTTGTTAGGATGTAAAGGAGAAGGAAATAAGAATACAAAGGATGGAAAGAGGGAACGATTGGAAAGGAAAGATAAAGAGGAAATGAAAGGAAATTCGGAGGAATTAAAAAAAAAAAGAATTTGAAAAATGGAAAGCAGTAATGAATTTGATGGAAATATTTATTCAAAAACATTACTGTTTAATGATACATATCGTAAATATGTTTAAATCGACAAAAAAGTTTGGATTAATATCTTTAGAGCAAAATCTACTAATAAAGTGTTTATATGATTTCAAAACAAACACTAATCTGGATATCACAAGATCAGAGACTGATAAAAGCGAGTATACTGTATGACAGTGATGAACCTGATCTGAAAATAGATAAAACATATTTCAGTTTCAATTTATAAGTCAGAGAAGATGTGTATTTGGTGATTTAGAAATGAAGAATATGGAGAAAACAGGAAGCCAGAATGATGCAAATATACAAGATAGATAGACGAAAGGAAATTGAATGAAAGAGAGGGAATAGAAAGAGAGAAAGAGGGGAAAAAAAACGGAGAGAGGGGGAAGGGAGAGAGCAAGGGGGAGGGGGAGGCTGACAGACAGACAGAGAAAGATAAAGAAAGAGATGGAGATAACGAGCGAGCGGGCGAGAGAGAGAGAGAGAGAGAGAGAGAGAGAGAGAGAGAGAGAGAGAGAGAGAGAAAGACAGACAGACAGAGAGAGAGACAGACAGACAGACAGACAGAGAGAGAGAGACAGAGAGAGACAGAGACAGAGAGAGACAGAGAGAGAGAGTCAGAGAGAGACAGACAGAGAGAGAAAAAAAAACCTAGACATACAATCTCCCCTCCCCACCTCAATCTCCCAGCCCCCCCCACCCCCCCAAAAAAAGGAATCACTTTTTTTCTCTCTCTTTTTTTTTATAAGGACAAGCTCGACAACAGCAGAACTACTCGCCCAAATTATTTTCAAACATCCGCTACACTCACCTTAGATCTCCGGCAAACACAACACACCAAGGAAATCAACACCAACAACAACACCAACAACAACACCAACAACAACACCAACAACAACACCAACAACAACACCAACAACAACACCAACAACAACACCTCAAACACAAAACACCAAGGAAATCAACACCAACAACAACACCAACAACAACACCTCAAACACAAAACACCAAGGAAATCAACACCAACAACAACACCTCAAACACAAAACACCAAGGAAATCAACACCAACAACAACACCAACAACAACACCAACAACAACACCAACAACAACACCTCAAACACAAAACACCAAGGAAATCAACACCAACAACAACACCAACAACAACACCTCAAACACAAAACACCAAGGAAATCAACACCAACAACAACACCAACAACAACACCTCAAACACAAAACACCAAGGAAATCAACACCAACAACAACACCAACAACAACACCTCAAACACAAAACACCAAGGAAATCAACACCAACAACAACACCTCAAACACCAAGGAAATCAACACCAACAACAACACCTCAAACACAAAACACCAAGGAAATCAACACCAACAACAACACCAACAACAACACCAACAACAACACCTCAAACACAAAACACCAAGGAAATCAACACCAACAACAACACCTCAAACACAAAACACCAAGGAAATCAACACCAACAACAACACCTCAAACACAAAACACCAAGGAAATCAACACCAACAACAACACCTCAAACACAAAACACCAAGGAAATCAACACCAACAACAACACCAACAACAACACCTCAAACACAAAACACCAAGGAAATCAACACCAACAACAACACCAACAACAACACCTCAAACACCAAGGAAATCAACACCAACAACAACACCAACAACAACACCAACAACAACACCTCAAACACAAAACACCAAGGAAATCAACACCAACAACAACACCTCAAACACAAAACACCAAGGAAATCAACACCAACAACAACACCAACAACAACACCTCAAACACAAAACACCAAGGAAATCAACACCAACAACAACACCAACAACAACACCAACAACAACACCAACAACAACACCAACAACAACACCTCAAACACAAAACACCAAGGAAATCAACACCAACAACAACACCAACAACAACACCAACAACAACACCAACAACAACACCAACAACAACACCTCAAACACAAAACACCAAGGAAATCAACACCAACAACAACACCAACAACAACACCAACAACAACACCAACAACAACACCAACAACAACACCAACAACAACACCAACAACAACACCAACACAACCACAACATAAACAACAGCAAAAACACCAACAACAACACCAACAACAACACCTCAAACACCAAGGAAATCAACACCAACAACAACACCTTCCTCTCACTTCCATTTTCCAATCGAGCCAATTTATTAATGAGAAGATGCAATGTGACTCGAGGGAGGAGGAAGCTTGGCCCTTGCAATTAAGGGAACAAAGATCAATTAACTGTCTGTCTGCAAGGAGTGGGCGTGTCCCGAGAGTGATTAGGAAGTCGAATCTATGTGGGGCGTGAGGGATGTGTTGGATTTTGCTTCGTGTTGGTGGTGTTGTGGTTGTGGTGTTGTGTTTGGAGATGTTTGTGGTGTTGTGTTTTGTGTTGTTTGTGGTGTTGTGTTTCGTGTCTGCGGTGCTGTGGTGTGGTGTTGTGTTTGCGGTGTTAGTTGTAGTAGTATCATTATTATTGGTATTATCATTATTATAATTATTATTATTATCACTTTTGTTTATCATTATTATTATTATTATTATTATTATTATTATTATTATTATTATTATTATTATTATTATTATCATTATCATTATTGTTGTTATTATTATTATTTTCATTAATTTTACTTACAGTTTGCTTCGTGTTTGGAGTACTGTGGTGTTGTGTTGGTGTTTTGTGACTTTGTTGTTGTTGTGTGTTTCTTGGTGTTGTGGTCTTTTGTGGTGTTATATTTCGTGGCTGTGTTGTGTTTTGTGTTTGTGGTGTTGTTTTTGTGTGTAATTTTGGTTTTGTCTATATTCTGGTTTTTTTTAACTGTTGTTATTCTTTCCAATGTTGCCAATGCTTTTTGTAATTTGCCTTTGTCCTTGCAATGTTGCCTTTCGTTTTAATATTGCCTTTGACTTGTTAATTCTGGCATTATCTTTGTAACGTTTCCTTTGCTTTTGTAAGAGTTCCTTGTATTTGTAATGCTGTTTTTCTCTGCGCAACGGGGCTTTTGTCTTTGTTATCTTGTCTTTGTCTTTGTTATGTTGTCTCTGTCCTTGCAATGGAGTATCTGCCTCTTGTTTTTGTTGTTGTTTTTCTTTATCATTTAGTTAATTTCTGTTCAGCTTCTGTTTTTAGTGTACTTTGTTTCTATAGTATGTGTGTTTGTCTGTTTTGTGCATGTCCGTGAGTGTGTGTGTGTGTGTGTGTGTGTGTGTGTGTGTGTGTGTGTGTGTGTGTGTGTGTGTGTGTGTGTGTGTGTGTGTGTGTGTGTGTTTTGCGTGGGTGATTGTATGTTTATGTATGTGTTTCTTTTGTTTCTGAATATGAGTTTGTTTGTGTGTGTTTACGTATGCTCATTTTTATCATAAAGACACACCCTCTTATGAAATATTACTTTTTCATCACATTATCAAACAGTACAACAAAAATTAACGAAAAACTATGACAAAAAAACGATAACTTACGAAAAAAAATTCTGAATTCCATACAGTCTCCAAGTACATTCATAATTACTACTTCACTCACTCTGTCCACTTCACCACTCGTCATCGTTCACCATCCCTCGTCCTCACTTCATTCCTTCATTCATCATGCCTCGAGACCTGAATTATGAGTGTATCTGCCAAGCGCACGCGAGACGAAGATTTACTTAGTGTATATTGCAATAATTAAGTTTCCATTCAATGTTATTGATAATTTATCGCTGGCTGGTCTGGGAGACGCTAGGTGTGTATATATATAAATGATATGTGTGTGTTGGGGTGGGCTGGGGGGGGGGAGTGTGGGGGGGGTGTTTGTGTATGCATGTGTGTGTGTGTTTGTGTGTGTGTGTGTGTGTGTGTGTGTGTGTGTGTGTGTGTGTGTGTGTGTGTGTTTGTGTGTGTGTGTGTGTGTGTGTGTGTGTGTGTGTGTGCGTGTGCTTGTGTGTGCGTGTGTGTGTATGTGTGTGTGCGTTTGTGTGTGTGTGCGTTTGTGTGCAAAGAGGTACTGTATATCACCAGATCTGTTGTCTATTTCTGTTCATTAATACTAAGACTTCTCACGTTACCCTAATCTCACCCTACGCTTGCTGAATAACAACTTGAGACCAGTAATAACAAAATCTTATCTCATATGTAAGTATAGAGATAGATAAATAGGTAGATATACATATATAGATAGAGAGATAGAGAGATAGATAGACAGATAGATAGATAGATAGATATAAATACGCACACACACACACACACACCTACCCACACTTACACACCTCACATACACACACACACACACACATATATATATATATATACACACACACATAATTAGAGAAAAGGGCGGAGGGAGAGCGCGGGCGGAGAAGCTCGAAGCGGGCGGAATAAAGGCCTGGGACGCGAGAGAAAGCAGCGACGCTCAGCGAGAGAATAAATGGCCCGCTCGTTGAAATTTATCCTCAGGATAACTTGCGATTAATGACGGCCGAAACACTAAGGGAAATACAATTTGTTCGTCAAGGATGGATACACTTCGTTTGGCTGAATGAACAGAAAATGTACCATAACGCGAAACAATTTTCTTAGTTCATGGTTGTTCATGTGTTTCGT